AGCATTTACACTCTCTTTCGAGTGCCTTTGGCAAAGCATGCTGGGAAATATATATCCCAGCAGTTTCAGTTAAACTTAAGTTCGTCTAAATTAAAATAAATAATTTAATCAAACTCAAAACAATGAAACAGTTCAGTTTACTTAAAATATATCAGTTCTGTGAAATTGTAAGAAAAGAAAGTGCTAAATACTCATACAAATTAATTTGACTGAACTAATTCGTTGAATTTAAGTTTGTCCTACTCAAACCAATTAATTATTTTGACCGTTACGGTTTACAGTGCAGAAACTCAAAATATTATGTTATTTGAACTACATAAATTATCTAAGTTGATTTTAGAGCCCGACCGATAAAGGATTTTGAAGGCTGATGCCGGTTTTAAAATCCGATATTCCGATATATCGGCCGATATTTTATTTATTTATTTATTTATTTATTTATTTTAAACTGGACATGATAGTCACAAATTTTGTCATGCTTATTTGAGTTTAGAGAACTGATGGGGATGATCTTTTAATGTATGTATCTTGACCAACTCAACGAATGTTGCCAACAGGAACGGTGTAGAGCGCCCTCTGGTGGACAAACTACACAACTCCAACACTCATGACATGGTTCAAGCGCGTTTCGTCCGTTTTTATTTTATTGTTGAAATATTCATTTATCGGCCATTATAACTGCCGATACCGATAGTTTGAAAAATGCCTAATATCGGCCGATAATATCGGTCTGCCGATATATCGGTCTGGCTCTAGTTGATTTTACAAAAGAAGAAATGTTGTGATTACAAATCATGAAAATATTTTTGTTACATTGAACTAACAATAAACTCTGATTATTAAGTAGCGCTCAGTTGAATGTGGTGGTTCACTTTTAGTTACTCACTAACTACTATTTTTCATACCTCAGGGTACATGAATAATGCATAATTTATTATAAAAGGTAACGGAAACCAGTAACATTTGATGATTTCTGATTGTGGACGTACAAATATTTACTCATTTATTTTACTCCGATCACCAATTAAACCATAACATAAAGACAGTAGGCAGTTTGCCTGTTTTAGACGTGACTCGTTTCAGCCGTGTGGTTTTCATCTGAAGCCTCTTTCAGGATGAAAAGGTCAGAAATGGGGGAAATTTTTCGCTGAGCGTGAGTCCATAGATTTGCTGGCTGCTTCTCATGTGTTCAAAATACCCCTGAATACAGTCATGCCACTTCAGATGTGCAATCAATTATATGCAATGCAGCACTTCCTGCACTTTAAACATTCGTTACAAAGCAAACCTAGTGAGCGACCCACGTGGGGAAGCGTTTCAAGGCATTTGCACTTCAGACACAAAAAAACCCTGCTCTAAAAGACTGTTTCATAATTACTGAATTATGCGTTTAATTCTAAGACGAATTTCACCGTTAGAATTATAGCCAATGACGGAAGAAAATGCAAACATCTGTGGGTGTTTTAATGCGTCTGCAGTTTTATTTATCTTGTGCTCTTGCAAAGCTCTTTGACATTAAATGTATTTGTACCACTGCTGTCAAATCGATTCATGACTAATTGCATTTAACATAAAACTTTGTTTATATAATATATGAGTGTGTATATAATATATATGTATAGACACACACACACACACATACATTTTATAAAAACAAACTTAGATTCTGTTAGAATCGCGATTAATCAGTTTCGACAGCATTATTAATAATTATAATTTTTATTTATATAGCGCCTTTCGAGGGCTCTTAATTTGTATATATATATATATATATATTTGAACTAATTTGCATACCTTTTATATTTTAACATCTTTTTCCACTATATCTTGAAAACTACTCATTCTTATTTTGGGGGAAAACTACAGAAAGTTTTCTTTTTTTGGTTTATTTTTGAACTTACTTTGAACTTATCGAACAACTAGGAAACGTTTCTGTTTGTCTGTCTGTGGTGGAATAATCGAAATAATGAATTTAAGCAATGTCCAAACACAATTCATTTTAAAAAGATGTTCAAAGAAATTACAGAGAAACATAGTGTTAACTTGAGCTTACAGTATATTGAATTAACCCGTAGTATAAATATTGTCATGTATCGGGAAACATCGTTATGTGTATAGAACTTCTGAATCAATACTTTCATGGATTATAGATTGATTACTTATTTAGATTTTTATTTATTTCTTTTTTATTTATTTTTTTAGGTATTTGTTTAAATATGGTATAGGGGGGTAGGAGTACATACGTTTTACTTCTTCCTACTCCTTTTTGCACATGTAAATAGAGGGTTGTTTTTGTTTTTTTTGTTTGTTTTTGTTTTGTTTCTTTTAATTAATATTCCTTGTTTCATTGATTAATATCTGTATTTTTATTTATTATTTACATGTTCAAAATAAAGATCTCAAATCAAATCAACTTAGCATCATTGAATTAGGTAATAATAGGCCTTTTTTTCTTTTTTCAAATTAGTGCTGGGTAATTATATGGCCATGAAATGGGCAAATTCTGTGGCAGCTTTGCATTTACTCACCTAAAGGATTATTAGGAACACCTGTTCAATTTCTCATTAATGCAATTATCTAATCAACCAATCACATCATGGCAGTTGCGTAGAATTAATGCAGTTCTAGTATACAGTAAGACAGTATTAGTATGGAGTTCCTAATAATCCGTTAGGTGAGTGTATACTGTAAAACATCTTAAACTGGTCACTTAGGTTCGTTTCAGTTAGGATGTAGACAGCAAACCAGCACAATTGGTTTTGTAATTGAATTTTTAATATCCAACTGGTCTTAATGTTGAGTCACTATGAAGCATGAATATAAATTGATGATGGCGATAGTCCGTGACTAACATAGCGGATATTTGCAGTAAATTGCACTGAACAATTCATGATGATCATTCGCTTATTATTCATCTGATTGCAATAACACTGACTTCAGCGTCTTGTGCGTTTCTCAAACAACTCATTCATTTCAAACAAAGGGAAATTTGCAGTGCATTGTCTGAGGCACTTAGCAAAACCGGTCGGTGTGTGTTTGTGTTAAAGAAACTGCAATATTTGAAGAACATAAAATTTTGTGTGCAACTCTACGGACAAATAATGGGTTGCAAACACTTTAAATACTTGGTGTCTCAAGTAATGCACTGGAAATTTCCCTTAGTTTGAAATGGGAACACTTTCATTAGTCAACATTAACTGAGCAATACATGTGTTACGGTATTTATTAATCTTTGTTATATTAGTAAATACAAATACAGCTGTTGATTGATTGTTCATGTTAGTTCACAGTGCATTAGCTGATGTTAACAAAAACAACCTTTGATTTTACTAATTTATTATATTAGCTAATATATAAGTTCACAAAACTCACAACTGGATTTTTGTTGAGAAAAAGAGTTTCTGAGGGTATAGGCTCCTTTATGAAAACTTCTTTCATTTCAATGCTAAATTGCTGTGTTTTTTTCTCTTGAAGAAAGTATATGCCAAAATGAAAGAGAGCCTCTTTTGTAGCTTGTCAGAGACTAAAAGATTTAAAATATATGGGAAATTACGAACCCCTGTTGCGGTAAAAAGATAATTTTTTTTTTTTTTTGGTGTATATAGCTTCTGCATTTTTTATGTCTGTTTCTCAAACTTATTTTCAATGATGCAACAGACTAGAAACTGAGTTTAAAAAAAACTAACGATCAAAAACATCTTTCTTTTTTTAAAACTCCCTGTGAATTCTCCTGGATGATTCACAAGACAAGTCTTTGACAAGCTACAATCAAGGATTTCTGTTGTTTTTTGACCCGACTGCTGTTTTTCAAAGTGTTTTTTTGGTTAATTGCATGAAAAACCAATGGGTTTTAATTTGACCCCAACACAATCGATCTAACCCTAGCCTTTCCAAAACACATCTATGCCTCGAAACTTTTGCTCGCTAAATTATAAGAAGAAATAAACAAACAAAAAAATGGCTAGGATAACAGTTTAAATTAATTTTCCTTTTTTGGGTAAACTATTTATAGTTATAATATCAACAATGTTTAGCAACATTGAGGTGAATGAACATAAAAAAAATCATGGAAAGGATTTCCACATGATTAACTTGCTTTTTTTTCCAGCATTATGCAATTATGGTATTCCAACTTCTTGGGTCAACTTAATTCATTAGGGTTGATTCAACTTATTTACTATTATTATGGACACAGCCTAATTTAATAGTGTCAGTGAACTTAAAATCGCTCCCTGTCCCCTGATTTAATTCAGGTATTCAAATTCACATATTCATCCATCCAATGCAATATAATTTATTTTAGTGTCACAAAAATCAATTGCTAGTCTATAGCCATTTATTATCTACAAAAAGCACTTTATAGCATCTTAAATTGATTCATCCACCAAAGCATAAACCGTGAATGTTGCCGGATCAGTCCACAATGGTAGCTCACTGTAATTTAAATTGTTCAATAATTGCAATGTAATTGATCATTAAACATAATTACGCACCACCAAGTTTTCCCCTTTTCTTAAAAACACATAAAATAGCACTTAATTTTAACATGTGTTCTCTCTTAATTCAACCATATGCAAAGCATGCTGGGAACTAACAGTTAGTGCAACACAAATCATTCATGTAATCCAACACAAATGGATTAAGTAAACTTAAATGTTACATATATTTAAGCAGATTGAACACAGTCAAATTACAGTAAGTTTGGACAAAAGTGTTGTTTTAATTAAGCACTTTGAACAAGCAGCAAAATTCTTTTTTTTTTTTTGCAATCTGGATCCATGAAATAACTGGCTTAAATCGGGGATTTAACACAGCGGTGTCCTGACTTTTGACCCCTGTATTTTTAGGAAGAACATTGATGCATTATTCATTCACAAAGAAAATTGGTGTCCTTAAAGGTTGGATTTTTCCTCATTTTCTTTAATTAGGGCAATAAGATCAATTTTTTATTCCTGTTTTTAGGCCAACTTTGTACTGTATATATTTATGGTTTTATATAAATGAAGTCAAATTAAAATAATGTCATAAATAAAAACAAATCGTTAACCTAACATCCCACCGTTGGGAATGTGCATAGTTGGCATTAGTAAGCGGGTAGGCTAGTGTTGGTACTCACAGCTCTGGTAACGGACAGGAAGCGATCGTAGCTGATTAAAACGATATTGAAGACCGACGCTGTGCACAACAGGTAGTCCATCACGAGCCACAGCTTACAGAGTCCTCGACCCAGCATCCACCGGCCCGTCAAGATGTAGGGCATGTAGACCGGGATGCAAAACGCCCCTGCAAAGAGACACGGTTTACTGTATGTCACGTTTAATCAGGCTTGCGTTAATAACCACACGCTTCTCCTGGATGGGATCTAATAGAGCACCAAATCAATGGATGGTGTCGTGAAGGAGTCTCTTCACAAAATGACAGATAAACCCGAGCCATCATTGAGTACTCTTTTCTGTACCTGGAAGCATCGAGAGAAAGCTTTCTCACAAAGCAGGACTATCGTTCTGTCAAATATGCAGAGCTTTATTCAGCTGGTTGGCATTTGAGAAGAGAAAAGCAGCGCTCGGTTGGACTCTAAACGACATGGGCTTGTTTTCAGGAAGAGTTGCGTTCAAAAAATCGTTTTTTTTGTTGTTTTTTCAAGGGACTTTAAAGCCTCGAGCACTATACACCGTCAACCAACATTTATTCAGACACCTCTACTCACATTATCATAGTTTATTCACTATAGAAAATGGTAATGAAACATGTCAAGAACTCAGTGGATATTGGACTGGTTTTGTCCGTCCTTCGGTTGGACTCTCACACATCTGTTGAACTACACAATTAGATAATACCAGTTTAGCTCAACCAGTGACCCAAGCAATGCTTCATGTTGTTCAGTGTGTGTGTTTGTAAAGATGTATAAACGTTACGATGTACAGTATAATCCAACTGTTAAAGGATTTTGAAGGCCGATACGAATATTTTTAAAATCCGATATATCGGCCGATTTAAAAAAAAATTGTTTTTTCAACAAAACATTAACAGATTTCCGTAACATTAGTTATTTGTATTTATTTATGAGTTTTAACTAAAATAATATATTTATAATCCAACCGTTAAAGGATTTTGAAGGCCAATACCGATACGAATTTTTTAAAAATCCGATATATCGGCCGATTTAAAAAAAAAAAAAAAAAAAAAAAGTTTTTTCAACAAAACATTAACAGATTTCCGTAACATTAGTTATTTGTAGTTATTTATGAGTTTTAACTAAAATAATATATTTATAATCCAACCGTTAAAGGATTTTGAAGGCCGATACCGATACGAATATTTTTAAAATCCAATATATCGGCCGATTTAAAAAAAAAAAATTGTTTTTTCAACAAAACATTAACAGATTTCCGTAACATTAGTTATTTGTAGTTATTTATGAGTTTTAACTAAAATAATATATTTATAATCCAACCGTTAAAGGATTTTAAAGGCCGATACCGATACAAATATTTTTAAAATCCGATATATCGGACGATTTTTAAAAAATATTTTTTATTTTTTCAACAAAACATTAACAGATTTCCGTAACATTAGTTATTTGTAGTTATTTATGAGTTTTAACTAAAATAATATATTTATAATCCAACCGTTAAAGGATTTTAAAGGCCGATACCGATACAAATATTTTTAAAATCCGATATATCGGACGATTTTTAAAAAATATTTTTTATTTTTTCAACAAAACATTAACAGATTTCCGTAACATTGGTTATTTGTAGTTGTTTATGAGTTTTAACTAAAATAATATATTTATAATCCAACCGTTAAAGGATTTTGAAGGCTGATACCGATACAAATATTTTTAAAATCCGATATATCGGCCGATTTAAAAAAAAAAATGGTTTTTTCAACAAAACATTAACAGATTTCCGTAACATTAGTTATTTGTAGTTATTTATGAGTTTTAACTAAAATAATATATTTATAATCCAACCGTTAAAGGATTTTGAAGGCCGATACCGATACAAATATTTTTAAAATCCGATATATCGGACGATTTTTTTTTTACATTTTTACAAATTTTTCCAACAAAACATTAACAGATTTCCGTAACATTAGTTATTTGTAGTTATTTATGAGTTTTAACTAAAATAATATATTTATAATCCAACCGTTAAAGGATTTTGAAGGCCGATACCGATACGAATATTTTTAAAATCCGATATATCGGCCAATTTTTTTATATAGATTTTTTTTTTTTTTTTTACATTTTTCAACAAAACATCAACAGATTTCCGTAACATTAGTTATTTGTAGTTATTTATGAGTTTTAACTAAAATAATATGATAATGCATTTTAAAAAAAAACTTGTTTCTTTTATTGTCACAACAGAACAGAGGAACCAAAGCTCATAAATGTTAACGTTAGCGGTCTTCCACTGACGATAGTGGCATTAGCTAGCTTTGTGGTTAGCTAGTCTACGATGAGCAATGGATAACGTCATACTGCAAATTGTAAAACATACATTTTCAATATAACAGGCCAAGGAGAAATGATGCGTCACACGCTATTAAAGAAATACTTCAGTCACATTGTCAAAAGTTAAAAGGACAGTCTGTCAACTACACTGTAACAACGTAACGTAACTATTACTAGCTAATTACGCTTCACTCTCGGCTTATTTAACCGCAGCAAAACTGGACATGATAGTCACAAATTTTGTCGTGCTTATTTGAGTTAAGAGAACTGATGGGGATGATCTTTTAATGTATTTATCTTGACCAACTCAACGAGTGTAGCCGACAGGAACGGTGTAGAGCGCCCTCTGGTGGACAAACTATACAACTCCAACACTCATGACATGGTTCAAGCGTGTTTCGTCCATTTTATTTTATTTTTGAAATAATTCATTTATCGGACATTATAACTGCCGATACCGATTGTTTGGAAAATGCCTAATATCGGCCTTCTGATAAATCGGTCTGGCTCTAAAAGAAACCTTGACCTAAAGCCAACTAGATCCAAACTTCTCAATGGTTCACGCATTTTTGTCGTTTATGTTTACGTTCTTGTGATGCTTTCTTAGGTTTACAGACACTTTTTCAGGACTTTCCTACATTCAGAGATCTCACTTACCAATCGACATCTTTATTATCTTTCAAAATCTAAAAAAAGGTAAAGAGATTAATAAAAATAAAACGAATCAAACAAAATGGTTCGAATAAAGCGAAAACAAAGGAGACAAATGTGTATTTCACACAATATTTACTTGGAAATTTACAAACAAAAAGAAAACAGAATATGTTTTTATGTAGACCGGTTATCAGGCCTGCTGTCTTGTGTTCCTGTCCGGAAGTAATCTTGTTTTCTTGAGAGTGGTCTAATCACTCTTTTAGCGTTCAGGACGAGAGAAATGTGGTTTAGTTAAAATTCACTCAGAATCCATTTCCTACAAATCGATGATGTGGTTTAGCACTGATCAGGGTTATGAATGGACATGCGCTCTACCAATGACAATTCATCATTTAACATCCTGATGCGTAATGACTTGCACCATAACTACCATAATATGTCGATCGACCATTGAATTAAAACTTTGGCTGATTAACAGTGTTCAGGACACTGAGGATTGAAAACTAAACTAATAATACCCCAAAATTATTCATACAGTGACTACCAGTAGAATCTTTACACACACTGAACAACATGAAGCATTGCTTGGTCACTGGTTGAGCTAAACTGGTATTATCTAATTGTGTAGTTCAACAGATATTCAACATAATTCATGTGTGAGAGTCCAAAACCAGTCCAATATCCACTGAGTTCTGCTCATATTTTATCACCCGAATGACAAGTATAGATTAGATCGATCAAACAGATGCACTGGGCATGCAAACACTGATGCACAATGATCTTTCATAAAGCAGCAAATCAGATATGCACAAAATTTCATCAATGAAATGTTAGTTTTGCACAATATTTACTCAAAATTTAAGTTTTATCCATATAACGTCAAACCAACATCACACATTATCCGAGTTTATTCGCTATAGTTTAGAAAATGGTAATGAAACATGTCATTATTTATTATTATTATTTTATATTCACATGCACAATAGCAATGCAAAAAACAAGAATTTGAAGAATTAAATGCATACCAACAAGGAAATCCGAGATAGCCAAATTAAGGAAGAAGTAATTGCATTGATTTCTGAGGCTCTTGTCCACGATGAAAGCGAGAATAACCAACGCGTTCCCGCCGACCACCACGACCACCAGTATCGTCATCAGGATCGCCAGGATAACCATCGTGATCCCGGGGAAAGGAGCCGCATCCGCGCTCACGGTCGAGTTGGAGCTGGAAGAGTTGAAACAGGTCACCATCGTCAGATCGAGGACATGTGGAGAGCCAGCAACAGGTCTGAAGTCATCATGTGAACCCGAGGACTCATCCCTTAACTTCGTCAGAAAAAAACATCCCCATTGGAGTCTCCAAACGCCTCATCTTCGACGATTCGCGTGAAACTCTTTCCAGTGGGAAACTCCCGGAAGATGTGAAGTCGAGATTGTGTGTTCACTGAGACTGAGTTTCTGCTGCTACATCATCACATTCCCAACCGAACTGCGCGTTCCCGTCAGTCGCGCACACCGTTGCGCACTCGCGCTTCCCTCCCGCGCCGCGCGCATATAAACGAGATGTCAACTTTGCAACTTTACTTTGTGTGTGAGGATCTGATCGAAGTATTATATCAACAATTGCATACATTGTGCATCTGTACGAGTACAAAGACTATTGATTTATTATTTTTATAGAATCACACAATGTGATGCTGTATTACGATCATGACAAAATTCAAACTTTTTACAATCGCAAACTTCACAATTTACATTTAACGATGTTTTGAATAGCTTTATAACGTTGTTTGAAGCGACTGAATGCCGTTATTATATAAAAATAAACTAGCTAAAAAATACTACTCCTGAAAAACTTCTACGGCATTAAGCCTCAAATGGCTTTATTTAGCCTATATAAAGAAACCAAACCAAGGTAAAACATATGCTTTGTATTGTAATAGTAAAACTAAAAATTAATACAATAGATGGAAAATTCTTAAGATAAACTGAAACTGTAAAGAAAAGAACATCTTAAGCTCAGAATAACGTATGTGGACTTTTATTTTGTAATTGCGCCTATGAACGATTACGTAATTGTGATCGCAATTACAAATTCGATGAACTGTGCAGGCTTAGTGTATTTGCTCTGCTTGAATAGTTGTTTATAATGACAGAAGTCATTATTACTTGCTTTCACACAATCCATCTTGAATTGAGGCGTTTTTTCGGGTCCATTAAACTTAAAATGAATTTAGATTATTATCTTGTTTTAAGAATGTTTAGACAGTCAGTATTAAGTCTTGTTTGCCCTTTTTTAATTATTATTCTTATTTTTAATTGTCATTATTAAATAACCCTGCAGATCTGTTTGATTGTCTTTGGAACAAGACATTTTGATAAATTGGTCATTTGGACTCTAAAATCTTTTGTCATTCCTGTTTTAAAATATCTCATTTTAATGTTATACTATGAGTAAATTCTCACTAAGACTGGCTTCGAGTGATGAAGTTGAAAAGCTAGTGTACTGTACGTTGGCCAGGGGTTTCAGAACCATGGACAGCAACTAACCCTTATTTTCTCCAAAACTTCCCCATATCCAGTGTTTACCTACTAAAAAGAGAAGCATTTAATCTGGTGCTCTTCACGTGTCTTTTTGAGTACCTAAAAATTAAAATTTCCAGCTTGAACGCTCTTGTTGAAGTTTGATCTCTTTTCAAAGACCACCCTTGGCAGATTATTGCTGACGTGAAAATAATTAATTAATAAATAAAAAGTGAACTTACAGAATTTTATATCACTCGATTCCAATTGAAAACAAAAAAAAACCCCAAATGTTATTTTTTTTCCGGTCAAAAATGACCGAAGAGCACCAGAGGGTAACAGAAGAAAAACATGAATGCATCTGCCAGCCAAACCATGACGTTAAAGCGTTTCAAATAAACCCCCTAATTACACTTAAGTTTTTAAATTGCACATTATGTTCAGTACGCCTCCTAAACACTCCATGGTAAGAAACAATCCTTAATTACCCTTGCTGTCAGAGATGTGGTCTTCTCTTCCTGCGTGAGTCATTTGCCCATTGACACAAAACACAACTCTAGCCCTGAGCTCCTTCTCAGCTGTGCACCAGACGATAGCAGTTTCTCTCTCACACACACACACACACACGTGTCCACGACATTACTGAAATAATGGGGCATTTGTGAACTACAAAAGCAGCACTGCATGGTGCAGCTCTCTTAGCTTCCATTAGTACGGCTCAAATCCTCTAAAACCTTTCTAAACGTGCCATTTTTCTTTAATTATATCGTGATTATTAACACCAGGGCTCTTGACCTGGGATTTCGCGTCTATAGTCCCAAACAGCGATACCAAGAGGGTCGGGTAGCGATTCAAGTATGGCTTTAAAAAGTGCAGTGAAATAAATGTATAAATCATGTAAATGGAGGAACTCTGATACACAAGAATAGCTTTGTCTTTTCAATCTTTCATTAAATGATCATTCTGGTCGTCCCCAATCTGTTTCCATAGAACATAACAAGATATTGTAGGTTTTTTTTGTATGTTTTTTTATCCATACAATGAAAGTCGATGGCTTATTTTGAAGAATGTTGGTAACCAAACCCATTTGGTCAGCCAAAATATGACGTTCACACAAAAAATGAAAATAGTGTCAGTAATGACTCTTCCTCATTTTCTTCAACCCTGTAAGACTTTCGTTCATCTCAGGGACAAATTAAGATATTTTTGATTAAATCACTCCTCCTTGTAATTGAAACTTGCCGGCACAGAAAAGTTATTAAAGACATCGTTAAAATAGTCCGAGTGACTACAGCGGCTCAACCTTAAAGGATTAGTTCACTTTTGAAAAAACTTTTGCTGATAATTTACTCACCCCCATGTCATCCAAGATGTCCATGTCTTTCTTTCTTCAGTCGAAAAGAAATTAAGGTTTTTGATGAAAACATTCCAGGATTTTTCTCCATATAATGGACTTCAATGGGGTCCAAAAGACAGTTTCAGTGCAGCTTCAAATGTCTTTAAACGACACCAGACGATGAATAAGGGTCTTATCATGCGAAACGAGCGGTTATTTCAAAACTTATTCCAAAAATGTAACTTTTCTAAGGACAAATGCTAGTCTTGCTCTATTCTGTGAGACGCGTTTGTGATGTCACGTAATACGTAATTACGTTCAAAAGGTCACAGGCGACGTAGCCGGAAGTACAGAGTCAGTGTTTAAGTTGAACGCATAGGAGAAATGTGCAAACTAGCTCTAACACCGTTTACAAAAAAAGGAATTAAAAGGTAAAACAACGATGTCGGACGATTTTGATTCTGTACTTCCGGCTACGTCGCCCGTGACCTTTTGAACGTAATTACGTATTACGTGACATCACAAACGCGCCTCAGAGAATATAGCAAGGCTAGCATTTGTCCTTAGAAAAGTTACATTTTTGGAATAAGTTTTGAAATAACCGATCGTTTCGCATGATAAGACCCTTATTCATCGTCTGGTTTTAACCGTTTAAAGACATTTGAAGCTGCATTGAAACTGTCTTTTGGACCCCATTGAAGTCCATTATATGGAGAAAAATCCTGGAATGTTTTCATCAAAAACCTTAATTTCTTTTCGACTGAGGAAAGAAAGACATGGACATCTTGGATGACATGGGGGTGAGTAAATTATCAGCAAAAGTTTTTTCAAAAGTGAACTAATCCTTTAAGTTTATCAAGCGACGAGAACACTTTCTGTGCTGGTTCTGTTTTTTGCTAGTGAGTTGTGGTATTGAAAGGGTTAAAGCATTGATAGTCTTGTTTCAGGTCGTCATGTTGCCAATAAGCAGCGATTTGAGACATTAAAGCATTTGAAAGCTTGAAAGCAATCAAGTTCTTAGTTGCTTTATTCTCGTAGTATCGGTGGTCTTCCTAAGGCCCAGAGCGAGAGCTACAACTCATTTCTATGGGGATCTGCTCTCTCACCTTGTAAAGAAGTAGGAGAGACTCTTATAAAGCAAGCCTTCTGATGTTTGATCTGAAGAGATGAAGAGCCCTGACCCTCGTTTGAACAAACAACAACGGCCGTCTCCCCAAACCCACTTCAGACCAGAAAACAGCATGAATTTCCATTCTGCTCCGCGGGGTCTCGGCGGAGGACAGCTAATGTTCTGATTTGATTTCTCCCACGATTAATATTATTCATTGATACTGTTGTCAGCTAGTACACAAAAGCCAAGAGTTTCTTATCCTCCATGCAAATTAGCCACTTTCATGAAATGCTAATGGCTCTCTCGTGAGGTTTATGTTTGGAGGGATATTATCCAGTCAAGTAGAGTCCCGAAGTTCAATATTGCATTTACTCTTGCATCAAACAGACGATTAGCATGTCGGAGATCGACTTAAAAACTACCGGGATAAACCATGGTACTTTCTAATGGATTATTTGATGTCAAATTTGATTGGAGTTTCCCTTTGGGCAAACTAATATAAAAGACTAGTCAAATCTGCTGAAACACAGTATTGCATTGTCAAGTCTGCTGTTCAATTATTTGTACCAAATATTGAAATCCAAGTCGACTTAATCCTTGCATTTCACCATAAAGTATTTATCCGTCAAACTTGGCATGTTACAGATCTGTGCCAATGCACAGCGTGGACTTATTTCTAGCCAAATATAGTGCAGTTCCTCACTTGGGGCCAGATTCACCAACAGCTCATGCCAGATCAAACCCTCTTTTGGTGTTAAACTACTGTCAGGATTTACTAAAGATACGCAGTCAAAAATTAGCACTGAAAAGGCGTGGAAAGGGTTATTATTGTGGCTGATTTTATTGCATATGCGTTTATAGGAGTTTCCCTTTACTGATGAAATATTAATGCGAGGAGAGTATTTAAAGGTATAGCGGAGGATTTTCTTTTTCCGGGTGGGTAGTCTATACTATTGGTCCACCTAAGTGTCAATCATTCTGGTGATATGTTTACGTAAGGCCGTCGTAGGCTACGTGCTCATCCCTATGTAGTTTTCACTTTCATGTGTATTATGTCGGAGTTACGGTTTCAGCCATTCCTTTGAAAATGGCTGAGGGTCGAAAGAGAAAAAATGTTTACTAAGTGTATGATAAGAAGAGAAAGGCGCAGAATATAGAAACAAGACCAGAGAGATTTTGGGTGAATATCACACGCTGGCGTGCGCTAAAAGCACAGGTTGGGCTTCTCACGGATGCCGCAGTCGCGAAGATTCTACCAGACAGGTAAAGTTTGTCACGCTATTTGGAGAAATCCATTTAAAATCACTAGTAAAAGTTAATGCAAGCTACAATGCTAGCCCTGGCACGAGTCATGCACCGCATAGACACGGTAAACATCTCAATTTGTCTAAAGTAGCCTTTTGTCCAAAATGGTAAATGGTATCACGCTGAAATATTCTAAAATCTTGTGTGTTTATTATTACACAAATGCAACAAGCTACTTCTCCATATGCAACTATGTATAAAAATAACGTATTAACAATGAGAGATATTAGGTTAAGGACCAACGTAATAGCACTGCTTATATGTTGCTATGTAACGTAATTGCGATTTGCAAAATAGTTTCCTCAGAACGTAT